CTCGTCGGCTCTATTTCAAGCTTGAACTTGGAGCTCAAAGAGGAAATGCTTAGTAAGCTTAAGGAAGTGAGCAACGAGCTAAAGAAGTAGCATAAAAAAAATACTCCAAAGGAGTAGATTTTAAAGGTGTGAGAGAGAAGGTGAAACGTACACACACAAGAGTGATGATTGTTTGTCCGGTTCAAAAATAACAGTGAACTCCAAGAGACTCTTAATCTTTATCGGTTTCTTCAAAACATATTATCCATAATCTGAGTTAACATACATGAAATGGCCGGTAACAAAACACGAGTTCTGTTTTATATTGGTCAACACACACCACAACCCAAAACAAAACTTGACATTATTGTACCAAAAAACAACATAAGGTAAAAGAAAAACCCCAAAGCACCAGCAAAACCATATGGTTCTTTATTAAGTAAGATAAGCATCACAATGCAAGAAGTCCCATAGAGTTCCAAGAGCATCTTTAAGCATTTCCATAGCACAACCCCTCTCAATGTTCTGCTCCTGCAAGACCACAAGTGTAATAATCAATCACTACAAGCCTCACTTCCAATAGAGTTTCAAAGAATGCAATAATTTTACCTGTAACTTAGTATTAATGTCTTTAAGCATCAAAGCCACCTCTCTCTTGATTTCCCCAGTTCCAATCCTCTCATTGAATCTATCAGTCTTTCTAACTCTAAGCCTTAGAGTTTGGTTTTTGTAGACTGTAGATTTAACATGACAAGTTTCAAATACTTTGTATCCATCCCCGGATGAAGATTTGCCAAGCGGCCACCTCAAACCGCCTTTCACATTTGGATCAACAGTCGCTGGATCCAGTAGCCCTTTGATGTTACTTATCTCTTTCTCCTACCCATCATAGAAAGATTTAACCCAAGTTAAAGTCCAAGAGAGTCATAATTTAGCCAGAAGAAATCCAAGATATGATATTCAACTCACGGTGAGAGTTGTCATTTTCCTTTTGGCAGTGAGCATCAGTCTCATGTCAAGATTCTTATCAATGCATGACACATCTACAACCAAATGCCTAACAAGATTAAGCTCGACCTATGCAAAAGCAAAAAAACACAAGCTTCAATGTAAGATGTTAGAAGATAAACCAAGTAAAAATATGGCACAGATCAAGAACAAAGAACACTAGACTTGCCATGTACATACTAAGCAGCTGAGCCGTCCATCTTCTTTAAGGATACATTTACATTAGATGGTTTCATTGGGACGAATATAATGCGATACCTGAGAATAGAAGCCGGACACAACAAAGTACATTCAAAATGACATCCAAAGGATTAGTCTAAGACAACAAAATAAGTACCTTCACAATGTATCTTTCCTTTTCCTCCTCAATACAAAATTCATGACTTGGTACAACTTTAGACTTGATGTGTTGTATGTAAGAAGTTGGGAGGTCTGCATAGAAAACCTTATTCATGTTTTTCCGCAAACATTCTGCCAAAGGACCAGCTTGACGCCTGATTATATGTTGCATATGTTAGAAAACCAAAACAAAAGAGTTTTTTTTTTGGTAAGCAGCATAGTATTATGATCAAAGCTGAATCACTTACACATAAAAGAGTTTTTTACCAAAACTAGCAACCAATCTCAATACACTATCAGGGGCGGAGGTAGGTTATACAAGGAGGGGGCAGTTGCCCCCCATGACTTTGTACAAATTAGTATAATATCTAAAGAGTTTTGGTTATGCCCCCATTGATAATTTATATTTTGCCCCCATCTTTTTATTATTTGG